CCTTAAAAACACAGATCCAGGCAATTGATCCTGGCTGAACATCAATCATCTGGGGGCTTTCAAAAACATTGTACAGGCTACATTATTTCATTTTCAATTACCGTTCAGTAAAAGAACCATTTATTTTCTTTGTTGTTGGCAATTCTATGAATTTTAATACACATATAGCTTTGTATAACCACCTCTACAGTCAGAATTTAGGCCCCCACGAAACTGCCTTGCCTGCTGCATTCACCTAGAATCAGTGTTCCTGCAATGACAATTTGTGGGGATATTTTTTTTTAAAAAATAAATAGTAGTGTCCAGGCTTTTCTCTTAGAGATCTTGATCTCATTATATTGAAAAAAAAGGCTTGAAATCTCTTTAACAAAACAACACAGAAAAACAAAAATAAAACAAACAAAAAATTACCAAGTGTATAGACAAGCTCAAGAGGCTATTAACACCTATTAAATATCTAATAATTTTCAACAAATAAATTGGCTTAAACTTGTTCGGTTCCTTGGGTTGAATGCCACCTTCCACACTAATACAGTGGAGCACCTGGTTAGATGACCAGAGGCACTGGTAGTGTAGCCATACACTGCCCTCTTTTGACTTATAAACTGCTCAGAAAATGGATGCCTTAGCTACTGCTGTGTACCCAGTTCTTCAAGATCTAGGGGAGTCTGTAATGACTTTTCTGGGATGTTCTGCCTGAGTTTCTCATGACATACAATGAAATTGCATCATTTGAAGGCTTGACAGGATTTTGAGGATTCACTCGATCCAAGTTCTCTCATGTTGCCGTTGTCAGAAAGCATCAGTTCCATTCTGTGTGGAATGTAGGGCATCTCCAAAGGCTGTCTGAATAGCTCCCGAGTTGTGGTGGCTGGTACTTTCATAAGGAGTGATCCAAATGTAAGGGTAAGGAGGTAACATTATCTTTTATGATCTGACCTCTGTGTCCCACATAGTTACTGCTCATAAATTTTATTTTTCTTAAGTCAATAAATAAATCTTTTACTCACTCAAGAGAAGGAAAGCTAGACTCCAGAAGATTTCCTCAACACATTTTGAAACCATTACAGAAAGTAACTGGCTGGGGTTGAGGGTTATAAAAGATAGCTTGATTGCATGTATTGAAATGTTTAAGGCAAGGAAAGAAGGATACCTCAGTAGGTTATATGCATGCTGCACAGGTGTGAGCACCTGAGTTTGATTATTAGACCCATATTCTAAAAATGCCAGGAATAGTGCTACTCACTTGTAATCCCAGTGTTAAGGATATAAACAAAGGCAAGTCTCTGAGACTCAGTGTCCAGCCAACCTAGCTACTTGGTTGGCAAGTTCCAGACAAATGAAAACACATCAAAAGATTCTCTTTTGAAAACAGAGGTGGAGAACTCATGAGCAATGACATCTGAGGCTGGCCTCTGAATTCTCCAGCATGTATATACATATGCTTATACACCCCCATACTGCCATGGACCTACACATGAACATGTGCATACTCTCAAACGTATTTCTAAGCCAGACCCAGGGTTTGCAGACCATTAACTCCAACTACTAGAGGACTAAAGCTAAGAGAACTGAACCTTCAAGTCCATCCTGGGCAACTTAGCAGGACTATGTGTCAAAATTAAAATAAATAAAAATAAATAAATAAAATCTTAATGACTAATTCTAATAGAGTACATGAACTTAACAAAACCCCACAAAAACCAAACTTTCAAAGCTGTAACGAGTGAATGGGCCACCCAGTATAACTGGTACACATATATTCAGAGAGGAGAGAACACACCAGATAAAAAGACATCATCTCATCTTGCTTAAGCCCATGTTGTTCGATGAACCAGGTCTTTAGAAGACATGTACTTTCAGGGCAATGCTGTATATGTGTTAATATAAAAACAGAAATGTGTTAAGAGATAAACAGAAATGACATTTAATTTCAAGCTCCATTAGTAACATACAGGGAATGGAGAGAACAAGGTCAGCCAAGATGGTAAAGGACAAAAATATTTCATTTCCAATTACTTAAAATTGTGTACAGATGTAGCAGCCCAAATACTGTTGAGTGCTTGCCAACTGAAAAATGAAAGGGATAATAACAAAGTAATAGAAATCCATAACACTTGAAGACCTCAAAATCTTGTTTACTATTGAAATACTCTTTTTTACTGTATTTGGGCCATGTAGATCAGCATTCTGTAGTTGTAGAGGCACCTTGCTTTGCTCACATAAAGTTTTAGGAGAATACAGCCATGCTGAAACTTCTTTGTATTGTATCTAGCAGCTCTCACCGTGTGGTAGTGACTCCTCATGACAGGTCTCTGTGAGTCTCAACTGTTCATTAAGTATATTCCAACTTGAAAATCAGTTCCTGAAAGAACTGTTAGCTAAGGTGAGACTCAACGAAATCATCCAGAAAAGGACAGAACTCTGCAAAGCAGGATCCAAGGCAGCACTGGCTTTACCTTTTCACCTCCACATTAATTTCCTCCTTTCCAAGTGTCATGGGATGAGAGCATATTGCACCCTTGTAAGCCCCTGACATAACGTGTGATGCCCCATCTTAGGGAACTCTCACTTTATAAAGGTTCTTCTAGCAAACTTGTTCAAATCTTGGCCTGAAGGCAAACAAGAAGACAAACCCAGAAGGCTGCTTGTTCTGCTCATATCCTTGAAAAAAGAGTGCGTGATAAACACTGTTACAAGGTGCTCAGGGATACCATATTGAAATTGCCTTCCAACAACATCCCAGAGAGGAAATCTAATTGATATGTGTTGAGTCAATTATCTGTCCTGCCTGAACCATGTGCTTATTTTGCATATAGATGAGGGAGTACCATCAGCTCTGCTAGTCAATTTTCCATCCAGAGACCAGGGCCAAGGATGGCTATCAAGGAAATTGGGGGAGGATGTGTTTGACATACACAAATCATACTTATTGTAGTTCATATTAAAAAGTAACTTACTAGGCTTAAGAAGTAAGGTGGGGTTAGATCATGAAGAATTTTATAGACCATATTAGCAGATCTGGGAGGTTTTCTCTCATGCAATGGAAATTTCTTAAATGATTGCACAATACTGTAGTGGTAAGGTTATCGTTAAAAGTCCTACTGGCTCAGGCTTTAGGGATTAGGAACAAGAAAGTGAAAAAAGGAGCAAGGGAACTCTCCAGGTAAATATTGCTAAGTGGGGCCTGGACCAGGACAGTGGGCAGATGGAAGGTAGGTTGGTAGTAGGCTGTGGGGTGGGAAGACAGAATTAAGGATGGACTTCATGCCTCTATTTGGTAAAACTTAGTGAAAGAAGACAATTTAGAAAGAGAAGTAAGTTCCATAAGGTATAAGAAAATGAAGTTTTGACAATTATGACGTTGGGGGTAGAATGGGATGTAGAAAATTAGGCTGAGAAAATGAATGAGACATGGGAGAAGGGTCAAACAGAGACAAGATCTCTGGCAATAAATTTGAAAAGCACCAGCATTTAAGGGGAAGTGCAAGAAGCAATGCCATTGACTGAGAAAGCAACCAAGAAGTACACATGAAGGAAACAGAGAAGACAGAAGAGCTGCAGGAAGGTATCTGAATAGAAGCAACGTAACCCTGCTGTGGGATGGTCTTTCTGTACGCTGTGAATATGTGTTGCTACCATTGGTTAATAAAGAAGCTGCTCTGGCCTATGGCAAGACAGGTTATAGTCAGGTGGGAAATCCAAGAGAAACAGGGAGAAGAAAGGCAGAGTCGGACAGACGCCATCCAATCACCCAAGGAAAATATTCCAGCAGACTGGTAATACCATAGCTATGTGGCAAAATATAGTTTAATAGAAATGGGTTAATTTAAGATGTTAGAGCTAGCTAGCAACAACCCTGAACCATAGACCAAACAGTTTGTAATTGATATTAAGTCTCTGAGTGATGATTTTAAAAGTGGCTGCATGACTGTGGGATTGGGGTGGGAGAGAGAAAAGTGTCTGGCTATGTAACCCACTCCTGTGCAACCTGCCTTATTATGAATGGATCATGAAGTATCCAAAGAGCCAAATACACAAAATGATAATGGATCACAAAGTGTCCAAAGAGCCAAACACACAAAATGTCTTACTCAGAGAGGTAAACAATGTCAAATGTTCCAATGGCCACTCCATCAACCTTAAGGGAAATGCTCTCAGTGTCAAGGGGGCACTGGGAATTGAAGAGTCCAGGTCAAATACTTCTCACACTGTGAAGGCATTCAATACATGTCAGTCCTTTTCCTTGGTAAGAGTGAGTCACTGGTGCCTGTGGCTAAGGTTATGCTCTACATTGCTAGATCTTCTCTGATCACACTTGCAAAGAACCAGTCATCACATCTGTGCTCTTTTGTGCTATATGCACACATGCCTAATTCAGTGCTTTCTTGTCCTAATAAATGCACAGGCATGGAATACTTTGACTTCCACATTCAGTACCTTCATTTCTCATTCTCTTATTTATTGAGGCAGAGTCTTTCTCTGAACTCGGAACTCACTTTTTTGGCTACCCTGCTGGCCCGCAAACCCCAGAGATCCTCTTGTTTACACCTTCCCAATGCTAAGATGCTAGGCGCTAGGGATGTAACTCAAGTCCTCATACTTGGGCAGCCAAGTCCTGAAGCAACTGAATCAGCTCCCAGCCCTCCTCTGACTCTTGGTCAACCCAAAGTTATACACTAATTGGCAAGATGAACTTAAGTGATAATTTACATCGATTCTGGTCATTAATGGAGATCAGGTCTGATTTAGTTCTCACTAGAATGTTCTTCCAACATGGAGTTAGAAATATTCCAGAATAGTTCGTGATTGGTGATTTAATAGAGAGATTTACACATGGATTGTGAACATGATACTCACGCTTTCTCATGTTTTTCTAGACCGTTCTAGCCCCCAAGGTTAGCTTAAAGACAACTAAAGTCCTTAGCTTCTTCTTTAGGGAAGAGGATGGGCTATGAGAAGTCAAGTGCCAATCAAAGTAGAAAAAGAAAGAAAATGAAGCAGTTTGGGAAAGGCATTTAATAATTCATTAATCTATATCCTTCTTATAAAGAAAAACCATAGATCACAAACCAGGAAATTATATGCTTTAGAAGACTTACCCATCACTTTTCATAGCTTTATTGATTATTACCCAAGTTTCAAATAATTAAATACTGTAACTGGGACATTAAAATACAAACTAATTTACCAAAATAATTGTATTCTGAGTATTATGTACAATATCATACATTTTACATTACATAAGGGGCTTTTATACATAAAGATGAGATTTGATTTATGGTTACTGGTTATCCAAAATACATTTGAACAGAACATTTCTATGCACACATACACAATTGCTCAGCTGGGAAAATCAAAACCATACATGAGTGTGGTTATTAAAAACTAAAATTACATTCATACAATAATAGCAGAAACTGAAATTCATTTTTATTATTTTGAAAGTAGTATCTAAAAACCACACAAAGATGAATTGTGGCCCAGTTCTATGTGTTTAACAATATTAATGGTACAAACTAAAATATGTGCTCATTTTAGGAAAAAATTTCCACTTTGAATTTTCTCCTCAGGGATGTATATTATTATTCATAGCCATTAAAATACCTTATATATAGGCAAAGGCAGGTCAATTCTGGGTAAATAGTAAAGTCACTGAGAGGGGAATTCCTATCATAGTGCTAAAGATATTTCACTATATAGTTCTGAAAAATAATCTTATTAAACTGTAGCATTGCATGCTTTCATATCCATGACTATGATAGAAATAGTTACACACCAAGGCACAGAGCTTAAGGGAGAAACATATGCTGTAGAAACGGGATACTGATGAGCTTAGAACTAAGAGAATTTAGATAAGAAATGATGGAAACTGGGAGTTCACCCAGGAAGCACCATCACACATACTACATCAGTTTTTAAGCGTGTCAGCCCCTGTTTGGCCTCTGTAACAGAAGACTAAGTCCAGGATACTTTCATATTAATATTATTCAACTTTCATACTTGGTTTCCCTCAAGCACGACAGCTGTGATTTTTAAGCAATGGTAAATATTCTTCTAACTGACCTGAAAGTTTAAAAAACAACATCTTTGCTCCGCCACACACACAAAAAAAGCTTTCCAATTGCATGTCAACTGTGCAGATGGACTTCATTTCCAGACAGCCTGCAGTAGTGACATCCTATCAGAGCTGTACATAAGAACCTGCAAGAACAGCCACTTGGCTACCAGTCACTCCCTCGACATTTGCACAGTGTTTTTCAGTACGCCTTGTTTCTAAATCCAACCCTGCCTTTTATCCAATATAAACGGTAGACTACCTGGAAGCCAGAAAACAAAAAAGTAATGAGCTGAGACATGCACAAAAGCCACGCACTTTACAACATCACACCATCTCTGAGGAATGAGATTCCGACCTGAGGGCATGTCTCATTGTTTATCTTCTTGTCCATGTTTAACTTGACTATAAAAGAAGTTCTAAGCTAAGTTATCAAAATATATTCATATAAATGTATAGCATTTCTAATATAAAAGTTAAAAAAGTCTAAACCCTCACTTTTGTATGTAATTAAATATTCTAGAATTCAGTAGGCGGGATTCGTTTTAGAGCAGCTTGAAAAAAATGTGTTGGCTGAGCGTAGTCTAGAAATGGGGTCCGGCTACATTTCGGCTCTGCGATGTGATTTCTCAGCGATAGCAGCTCCGTCTTCTTCCTCATCTTCCTCCTCCTCATAATGCTCCTCTCTTCCTTTGGGATGGGCACCATCTTGAGCTCCTTGTTCTTCGACATCATTATTTTTATCATCAGCCTAAAGGATAAGAGAAAAAACAAATCTAAGAGAGGATGTAGCCTTTGTGACCGATATTCTATTCAACAAAGATGCAAAGTAATTCATTTTGGAGGAAAAGAAGGTGTGAAGAAAATGATTTCATAAGCAATACTACAGCCTCTCAATATTCCAGTTATCATAACTTTTCTTTATTCTAGGTAGGCCTGCTAAATTTATCATTGGCTTAGAGGTGCAGAGAATATGCTTCTGGTCCCTGTCTGTGTGCATGTGTGTGACTTCTATATGGAAATGTGACATTCCAGGGCAGAATAGGCCAACACACACATTCCTGCATACATATATACACATCACACACATATATACATGCAGGCACACATACACACTCATGCACATATTCAAAGAAATAAACATACGTTTTCACCATAAGTCTCTTCAGCATTATGTTCCAACTCCCTTTTCTTCTCTTCAGTCAAATCTTCCTGAACCTAAAACACAATCACACAGACTGAATGATGCTTTCCCATTTAAACACTTGTAACAAAATGATCTGATTTCTAAGATATTCATTCAAAATTGCACATCTTTGCAAAAGAGAAAAAAATTCAAGTTGAAAAGTGATACAAGTCCAAAGTCAGACTTGTCTTGTGGATGTAGAGATGTGCGATGTGCCTCTGTAGGAAGTGTTGGCAGTTAGTGGTCGCTGGAGGGACAGGTGCTACTCTCTTCAGTGGTGGGGCACCGAGAAGAAGAAACATTTGCTCCAGTAAATGACTCCCACTCATGCTTGGGCAAGAAACACTAATGAGACTCAGTGGGCCACACCCCAAAGGAAGACGAGAACGTAGGAAGACTGGTTGAAAAGAAGCATCTAGAGGGGAAGGGAGTGAGGCCAGGGAGGAGGATGGGAAAGGGCAATGGAGAAGAAAATGGTTAAAATTCACTATATAAATATATGAAACTGTCAAGAAGAAAAGTCTCAAAATCAATGTGATTCTCAAAGAAGGACCCATGGATTTGATTTCTGTTTTGTTTGAATATGGGTGAGCTCTACAAAGTCAACCGATAAAGGGATTCAGCTCTCTTTACAAATTGTTGTATTTCCACTTCCAAATGGAAGAAACCCAGGAATCTACAGGGCTGATGGGACAGAAGTCTTAGAAAGGCAAAACAGCCTGTCTTATTTGTTGTTATCAATAACCAGGTACATTCCAGGCAAGTCAGAATTTTCTCTTTTTTTTATTTATTTAAAACTTTTTTCCCATATTACATATCAATCCCTGTTCCCCCTTCCTCCTCTTCTCCTACTTCCCCCATTCTCCCCCCCCACCTCACCCCCATCCACTCCTCATAGGGGGTAAAGCCTCCCTTGGGTAGTCAACACAAGCTAGCATATTAAACTGGGGCAGGATCAAGTCCCCCTGCATCACAACTGAGTAAGGCATCATCGCACCATAGGGAATGGGCTCTAAAAAGCCAGTTCCTGTACCTGGGATAAGCGCTGGTTCATTGCCAGGGGATATACAAACAAATAAGTCACAAAACTTTCACTCACATTCAGAGGGCCTAGTGCAGTCCCCTGCAGGCTCCCCAGCTGTCAGTCCAGAGTCTGTGAGCTCCCACTAGCTTGGGTCAGCTATCTCTGTGGTTTTCCCCATCATAATCCTGACCCCCTTGCTCCTATAATCCCTACTCCCTCTCTTCAACTGAACTCCAGGAGCTTAGCCAAGTGCTTGGCTGTGGGTCTCTGCATCTGCTTCCATCAGCAAGTCTGAATTTTTTAATAAATAACAGCCAAACAATGAGGTAGATGAATAAATAAATGCAAAAATATCTCTTCTCCATAGGTACAAAAAATACCATTGTCTATGTAAAATGAGGTAGAAAACTGATGTATCTAAGAATAAATTTATCTAGCTAAAATGTATAGAAAATAGGACAAAATAATCATAACTTCTTCATGAAATATTCTATTAAACAGTTCCCAAATCCCTGTATCTAATGTTCTAGCACATTTCTGTTGGAAATTGTTTTATGTTGTGTTCACTATTATCATAGTTTCCCTGATCGAAAGCATTTATCTGAAAATGTAAATCAAAGAAAGCATCCAAATACTCTTACTAAATAACCTCTAATGATCACATCTTACAGAAATAGACGATAATGCAGTTTCTAACTTGTTAACTTCTGAAATCATATATATGCCAAAAGACAGAAGTCATTTGCATATATCACAAAGAGTCTCAGAAGACTGTGTTGGTACCAAGCCAGTCTCTTCTAGGATCATAGTACATGATTGAGCCCTCTTGAACAGCACGGGGCAGTAAGAGATTGGGGAGAAGAAGAGCTGGAGGAGCGGCTGTTGGCACTGTGCAAAATGGGTGAGGTGCTACAGTCAAAGCATCCAAACAGGACGAGGGAAATGAGAACAGTTCAGCCTCCCTACGAGCTGTGGATAGACACTGGCCTGTCTGTAGCCTGAAAGGATGTCTTTTCCAAGCTATCCAGGCTGGAGGGAAGTCTTCATGAGTCTAGTCATTCTACTATCAGCTGGACCTAGAGCTCCTATACTGTAGTCATTCCAAATAATTAGATCGGAGGCATAGAACATCCTCTGTATTCACAGTTTCTGATAGGGTGAGCTAAAGATATCTGTGTCTCACTTTACGTCTTTATCAGTGGTCCATGACATCTCTTCTGCCATTAGTCATAGAATCTTACAGTGACATTACATAGGATACTGGGATGAGGGCAGTGGAACATATATTCTCCATTACATTCAGGGCTGACAAACAGAAGCATTATTAAATTGCTCAAGTGTTCCTGTTGACTTCAACCAACAAAGACAACTTTTTTGTAACTTTAATGAAGAATGCATTACTTGGCTAAAAAGTGAGTTAGTTGAGAATGGAAGAAGTGCTTAGAACCTATGCAGTGCAGTGAGAAAAATCCCTAAATCAGAGGATGGAATTCTTTTTTGTTGGGGGGTGGGGAATAGTAACTGCTCAGGCTTCCTCAACCATTCTGTCTCTGTCATGCAACACAACTCTACCAATGTAGAGCAAAACAGCTGTACACAATATGCAAATAAATAGGCTTGGCTCTATTCCAATAAAACTTTATTTACAAAACAGACTATGCTTATGGGAGTTTTCCACCTCTTAACATATACTGTGTGGATAGACCAACCTAAACCAAAGGCTTGCCTCTGAATATTTCTTTCTATATAAACAGTGAGGTCAATTTTGTTGTTTTGCTTTGGTTTAGACAGGGTCTCATCTCAAACTCACAATCCTCCTGCCTCAGCCCCTGGAGTGCTGTGATTACAGATCTGTTATAGCATACTGGGATAACAGTTTTCATTATGAAAACCCTCAAGTGCATGCCAATAAAGAGAATCACTTACTAAGACTCTTACAGCCACTAATGTCAACATGGCCATACTTGTATCATCTATGACATGCCTACCCTTTTCAGTGAATTATGTATACACCTGTATATGTGCGTGTGTGTGTGCATATGTGCGTGTGTGTGTGTGTGTGTGTGTGTGTGTGTGTGTGTGTGTGTGTGCAGGTGCACCGGAAGTTGGAGTTCAGAAGTCAATGTCAGGTGTTTTCCTCAGGTCTTCACCCTATTTTTTTTAAAACCTAGTCTCTCATTGATCCTGACAGGCACCTATTTCCCTAGTCTGGCCTGTGATCCCCAGGGATGCTCCTGCCTGTCTTCTCAGTGGTGGGATTCCAAGTGTGTGCTATCCAGCTTTGATGCAGGGGGAGGGGGGTGGACCTGCTTCAGCTGAATGTTCCAGACTCTGCTGACTCCCCATGGGAAGTCTTACTTTGTCAGAGGAAGAGGGAATGGGGCTGGCTTAGGAAGGCTGGAGGCAGAAGGAGGGAGGAGAGAGGGATCTGTGGTTGGTATGTAAAATGAATAAAAAATTTCTTAATAGAAAAACATTAAAAAAAGAAAGTTACAAAATTTAAAAAATTATATTAATAAAACACTTTAAGAATAAAACTGTTCTTGCATATAATTCATTACAGTGTGCTGTGTTATGTTAACATATGTGAAGTAACTCTGACCTCACCCATAAACATTGTTTGTAATGTAAATAACCTCATTAACCCTCATTAACCTTATGTAAATGTCTTCAGGATGTCCCAGGATTCCCATGAACACTATGGGAACAGCTACTTTATAAAAAACCAACAGCAGTAAAGAAATTCTTATCTAGGAAAACAAAAACAAAAACAAGTGTGTGCTATCATGTTTGTTAGTTTTTTGTTTGTTTGTTTTTTAATGGGAGTGCTGTAGACCTAACTCAAGCATTCGAGCTTATATCGTAAATATTTTACCAATTGAGCCATCTCCTCAGGCCTTTGCTGAATTAGTCTTAAAATTTCTCCACATCATGCAATTTCCATGTAAAGCCATTTACACTCCACAGCATACATCTCTGGCAATGCATGTCTCTCTAGACATCTGATAGCTTCCACAACCCTGTGCCATAGTCTACTGGCTGGACCACACTCACACTCTTTCTTGACTGCCTTTTTGAAAATGTTTTTGTTTTGTTTTGAGATTAAAGTCTTACACTGCCACCCAGGCAGACATGGACACTCTCTAAGTGACCCAATCTGGCATCAACCAGTGGTCCTTTTGTCCCATCACCTTTTGAGTGCAGGGGCTACAACTGTGAGTCACCACACCTGCTGCTGTCACAAAAGAGACATGTACAGTCACTCTGTCCTGATCAGAATCTGAACAAAGATCATGCATGACAAGGGCTTCCTTTCCTCCTTAAAAAATTCTAAGTTCACTTCTGTCTGCTAAGCCTTCAGCCACCCCTTCAACCATCCCTCTAGGGCCTTATATTGCGTGTGAGGGACGGTTTCATAAAGTGTGAACAAATTCAGCTTCAACTTAAGAGCCAGGGGCATTTCAGAAGCGGTGCTGAAAACTTCCCATTTTCATCTCATCAGCAGGCACCCTGTGCGTGTTTGTCCTACTAACAGTAAGGTTGTCCTTGGTCAGTGACAGCAGATGTTGACCGCCCAGTCACTCCATGCTCCGTAGAAAGTTCCCTGAGCTCTGTTCATGTAGTGACATCATTCATTGATGATTCCGTCTTAAGTTGATTGTTTAGAATTCAACAATAAATAACAAATTATGTGATTCTGAAAAACTTAACTGACCTCTCTGAAGCTCAAATTTCTTATACACAAAATAAAAATGTTGAATAAAGTCCATGACCCTTGGTGTTTATATGTGTGTCTCAGGGAGGAGTGGTCTGAGAGCTGTGGGTTCTTCTAAGCATTTAGTGAAAAAATGTTTAGCAAATGGGTGTGACCACTCATATTAGTTTAAGAGGTCACACTTTCCAAAGACTATCTAGGTAGCTGCTTTCCCTAGGACTATTTATCTAAACAGAGGTTCCCAAAATATCAATATATGCTGCTTGGGAAGGTAGAGCTTTTGAAGGGTTCAGATTTCTAGAGCCCTCAAAAGATAAATACAAATTCTGCAGGGTAGAGTTGGTATAGGGGTTTGTATTTTTCATGAACTTCTTAAGGTGACTTTTGGTCACAGCTAAGACAGGACACTATTTTTTTTTTTAGTACAATGGATGTTGGTTAAGAATGTCTGGCTGGGGAAATAAATTTTCTAAGACTGTTTCTCCCTTTCTCTAGTTGGTGGACCTACTGTACAAATTTTAGCTTATGATCCAGTTGTCATTCTAATTATAGTTGTGAACTGATGATGTAAATGGCTCTTTGATTAATCAAAAAATGATAGTCTGTAATATTCTAGCCATAGAGACAACAGACGCTTACATATATAATATTAATGCATTTATCATGTTTGAGACCAAAGTAATCCAAGATCATCTTAACTGCATTACTGAAGAAGAACAGATGATATTGTATTCTTGAGCTTTACAATATGCTGAAGCTGATAGCCCCAGATCAAAAGCTCACCTTTGATCATGTATGTCTTCCTCAATAGTCTGCCTTAATATCCTGCCTCAGCTGGCACCATGCTTTATCAAAGACATCTCAACACTGCTACTTCTCACTTGTAGTCCCGAAAACTGTGCTTTAGAAATTTCAGGAAAGAATCCTACCAGATGGGGTCAACCTTGATTAATGGTTAAACAAAACAAAGCAGACCCCGGATCTGAATTTAGGGTTGGCTAGCTGTCCTGTGCTAGCATATGTAGTAACAATTGTACATGTGAGAGAAACTGTACCTAGCTAGGAACCAGGAGGCTTCACTGTAAGAAGCTGAGCGTGGGAGGATCCGGAAGTAGTGGCATGCTAGACAGTCAGAGGCCTTCAACAACATTAGCTACAATGACTGCTCAGCAAGGTTTAAAAGAATCTGTGCCCATTGAAAAGGCCTCCCTTGCTCCTTTCCTAGCAGGAGCTTCCATCCCTTCAAGTTTGTAGCTGAGAACAACCTTGAACTTGTGATCCCCCTGCCTCTACTCCCAAAGTGCCAGGATTTTAGTTGTGCTCCACCACAGCCAGTTCATGTGTTGTCTGAGACAGACCTGTCAGCTTCTTACATGCTGGGCCAGAACTCTACCAGCTGAGCCCAGCCCTGGGAAATCTGATTCTCAGGTTGCTTCTGGTGTCAGGTATGTATGTGCCCCTCTGTCTACAGAAAGTGGACAAACAACCTTTTACTTCTCTTTCTTGAATGTTCATATTAATCTGCTAAATTTTTCAAGCAGTCATTTAATCTGTTTTTAACATTTAAATACTTTAAAATACATAAACTTTTTTAGATATGTCATAATATGTCTCTTCACTCAAAAGTAAATAAAATATCTGGAATGAGAAAAATATTACAGTAAGTATTTTTACTTTAAAAATCATAAACAAATAAACAAGGAGTGCTGGTAGGAATCTGTCATTTTTATGTCTTAGAATGATAACATGGCTGAGACAAAAGAAGGTAGTGGAAGGCCAGGGCCATAGAGTAGTCATTGAAGTGTTTACTGTGTAAGTAATTGGACCTCAAATTCAATCTTCAGAGCCCATGTGCCATGCACATAACCCCAGCACCGGTGAGGCAGACACAGGCAGATAACCAGTGTTGTCTGGCCAGGCAGCCTGCCTACTTAGTGAATGCCAGGCCAAATGACAGACCTTATTTAAGAAAATAAAGGTGGATGTCACCTGAGGGATGACATCCAAGGTTTCCCTCTGGCCACTACACTCATGGGTATAGACATGAATGTGTACCCTCACTAATACCAACACAGTAATACGCTAACACCTACACATCCAAGTTTTGCCTGGGAGGGAAGAAAACTGGGCACTATTATAAGTCTACAGCCCAGTCATTATAGAACAGCTGGGACACTCAGGCTGAAAAGAGACCAGGGGGATGAAGCCACTCATTATTTCATTGTTGTTAAAGTGTGTCCGTGAATGCTGCCCCTCTCCACCACCACCCCCACACTAAAACTATCCAGTGCATCCATACTTTTAGTTCACTGCTCATCTCGCTGCAGGTTGCTTAGCACCTCATCTTCATTATTTGTGTTTGAAAGAAATAATGGAAAGAGCTGGTAAAATTCAACACAGCCTGTGCAAGAGATGATCAGTGGACAGAGAGGCAGTTAAGACTGGAAAGAAAAGCTTTCTAAGAGTTTTAGGCAGTAGTCCTAAATGACAGGTGTGTGTGTGTGTGTGTGTGTGTGTGTGTGTGAGAGAGAGAGAGAGAGAGAGAGAGAGAGAGAGAGAGAGAGAGAGAGAGAGAGAGAGAGAGAGAGAGAGAGAGATTCCAGATCCACAAGGCCTCAAGGCAGGGCCTGGGGCTTCGGGAACAGTGTTAGCAGCCAAGGAGAGGAACAACAGAACAGTGGAGCGGAAGGACCGCCTCTGGGTGCCGGCTGCAGTGGAACAGCCCAAGCCTCTGCCTTGTTGCCTGCCCTAGCCTGTCTGTCTTTTCTTACCGTCCTCCATCCTTCTCACATCTCAGGGTTTCTATCCTTCCCTTTAACTGATCATACTACCGAGCTGAGAAGGAATCAGCAAACAGTGATTAAACTTTTATGTTTACCCTTCTGAATTTTTAAAAGGAAGCCAAGGTGAACCGTTTCTCTCGTAATCCCTCAAAGCTCCCCCTGATCTGACTTGAGGAAACAAAGGACTATTGGTCTAGACATGCTGTTACAAGAGCAGTCCTGATGAATAGCTTTCTCCTGCAAATGTCTTAATATTCAAGGCTGCTACTTTCTCCAACGCTCTTTCCGAAAAGCTAATCTCTGGGTCTTCATGAAGATGAACAGCAGGTGGGGAGATGCAAGGGAATGCAACGATCAAGCCTGTTACAGAGAACACGGCTGTGGTCATAAAGGGCAGCAGGCTTTTCTCTTTTCTTGGGATAAGCACAATTCTAGCATTGGCTCTAAAAGGCTAACAATCAGTAAGAATGAGGCAGTGATTCATGAAGGCAGCGGAGGGTGCGGTGTGAGTGCAGAGCACAGACTCTCTGAGCTTGCTCTCTTCCTGGGGGCCTGGCTTTAGGTCATCACTTCACTTGTCTGTGTCTACCATCTTACCTGTCCTTTCCCCCAGGAAGACCCTGTTTGCAAGACCCTGGTTATGAAGTGGCCCTTAACCAGTGCTTTAACTTGGTAAATACTGACTTGTCTATAAAGGGAGTAAATGTGAGGTCTTGACTTGATGTAAGATGCAAACCATATATCCTGTGGTAGTTTGAATGCAATTTGCCACCAGAGGCTCATAGGGAGTAGCATTATTTGAAAGGATTAGGACATGTAGCCTTGTGGGAGTAGGTTTGGCCTTATTGGAGGAAGTGTGTCACTGGGGGTGGGCTTTGAGGTTTCAGAAGCTCAAGCCAGGCCCAGTGGCTCACTCTCTTCCTGCTGCCCATCGGGATGTAGAACTCTCAGCTGCCTCTTTAGCACTACATCTGCCTGTGTGCTGTTATGCTTCCCATTGTTATGACAATGGACTAAACCTCTGAACTGTAAGCCAGCCTGAATTAAATGTTTTCCTTTATAAGAGTTGCTGTGGTCATGGCATCTCTTCACAGTAATGAAACTTTAATACACTCCCAACATACAGTTCACTAGAGAGACAGCTGCTAGAGACAATCCCTCACACACTGCAATCACCAGCTGATTCATCACAGGAATAAGACAATGGGATAGGTTTTATATGAAATTCATTAGTGGTAATATGTCAGAAATCTACAATGGAAAGGAAATTAAAATTTAATATTAAGAAATTCCATCTAAATGCATCTTAATTCAACTGGAATGCAGTCCTTTCCATATTTTGCCTCCTCCTTTCTTTTTCTTTCCCTTTTTCTTTTGGTGGAGGGGGTGTGCTAGAGACTGAACTCAAGACCTCTCATTTGTCAGGTGACCTAGCCCTCATTATTAAGCTTAATTAAGATTCTGCATTCATATTAGGGAAGAGGTCAGAAGGAAAGATTGGTGAATCTCTAGAAATACTTGGAGTGGGTTAGATGAGTCCCAGTTTACTCTTTAGGGTCCCCCTGAGACAGCATGGGGAAGATTCCAGAGAGAAAGATACAGGGGTCAGTACACACTCCCTGGAAGTGCAGAGCCTTGTTCTTCTCTCTTGGATGCAAGAAAATGCATGCATGGATACTCTCAAAAAGATCACATGTATCTACATCTGCCAGAGGTCTTCTTGATTCCAAACTTCTGGTCATTTAAAATCACTCTGGTTTCTTATCTTCTAAGTGTTTCGACTGCTATGATCCATTTCTTCTTCAAGCTCCCAACCCTTTCTCATTCCGTTTAAATCTGAATGTCAAAGTCAACAGAGCTGAGGTTTGTTTGAGGGTAGTATGCCCAGTGTGTCCAGTCACATGCACCCAATCTTATACCTCCTCCTCTCCTTCCTCCTGGTACTGTTCATCAACATTATCCTCCTGCTGGTCTGGATTCCCTGCCATCTGTAGGAACAAAAGGAGAGGTTCACGTTACTGTACCCTGGAGAAGTGTCTCACAGGATGCTGGGTCAAAGGATGAGCACACCAGGATGAAAAGCGTCCCGGCAAAGGCATCAGTAGCCAGAAAATGCTGAATGTTCATTTCTCAAAAGAAGTGTGCGTCACTCCTTATCTCCCTCTTGGAGTACAGGCATATCATCTTACATAAGGGTCTAAAACCCGATGATGTGCTGATGTGGCAAATCATCTCTCAACCCACATAAGCACGTGCCTTTCCCATCAATTAGGCATTTACTGAAACGCTCAGGCTGAACCCACCCTTTGTAGCATCTTACCACCAAGTGCTCATCCATTTCTGCGTTCTCTTGCTTTGCTTCCCCTTGTTTCTGCTCCTCACTTTCCTCTGGCAAATTCTCTTCCCTCACTTGCTCAGCCTCCTCAAATTCATCTTCCCCTTGATTGTTGGGGTCATCTGCTGGATTGACGTCCTCCACAGCTGCCCTCTGGAAAATGTTCATAAAAAGCACCCACCGCTTCAAAACTGAGGTTCAAGTATAAGTTCATTGCAAAGGTCACACACACACACTGGCAGAAAAGGAAACTGTCCTTCGCCGGACAGTTCAAATCAATTTTTTCCCCAAGACTTGTAGCGCATGGAACATCTCTATCCATGTCCAAGATGGAGCTCCCTTTGCTTTGTCAGTAGGAGGAAACAGATCGATGGAGGAGGGGCAAATAGTACATCATTTGTGCAAGTGATTCCTCAACATTCTAGTAGTAAGTAATGTACGCTTCAGTACGCAGCCAACAGTGCTCATATAAGTCGGAGGGCTAAGTGGAGAAAAACAGATCAGTAATAATCAAGATGGGAGAGTTAGGGGGGCAAATAGTAACTCCTTTCACTGCTACATTGACTTTCACACCCACTTCCCTCAGAGAGAAATCTGTGAGTGTGAGGTGGACATATTGGTTGCATGTGTACAAGTGTGTGCATTTGCACCTATGTGTAGCTGCCCAGGAGTGCACACGAGTGTGGAGGCCAGAGGTTAACTTCAAGTGTCACGTCTCAGGAGCAGTTCACATTCTATGTTTAGATAGGCTATCTTACAGTGAGATGTGGAGCCCATCCACTATGCTGGACTGGCTTGTTATGGAACTCTGGGCATTCGGTTTCCAGCTCTCCAGCCCTGGTATTGTAAGATGCACCACCACACTTGACTTTATATGTCGGTGCTGGAGAGGAAACAGCCAGCACTGGACTAACTGAGGTATCTCTGCAGCTCCCGGCAAGAACATTTGAACACATAAATAGGGAAAAAGTAGCTGATGGGAAAGAAAGCCCATAGTGGAAGGACCCAAGAGGAAGACCTACCAAAGAGGCAGGGCAGAGAAAGAACTCCACAGTAAATGGTTTAGGTGCAGCATGCCAAATTTCTTTTATCAACTAGGGCTACCAGGAAGCAGAGTAATATTGCTTTAGAAAGGGATAGAAAAAATCAGACGATGCACTGTCAAAGGTATCTCCACAGCAGTTCTGAGTAACTGTGTTCCACAAATGCCTTTCAAATGAAGTGACATCCCAATTACTTCGGTTATCCATTTAAGACCCTAGCACACCTGTTAAATAATACCCATCCTAACAGTGATCCTGAGATGGGCATCCCCAATCCCTTGGTAAGCCATGGGACACTTACTGAAGTGGGAATTGCTCTCCATGGGACGCCGAAGCCATGGAGTGGGACTCAGCCTCTCAGCGCTGTGCAGACAAGGGGCTCTGGCTACAGTTCACCGAGCTGCTCAGGCATGGTCAAGAGCTCCCTACAGTGTCAGGTGGCTTATTAGTGCATAGCCCTGGCTGGGAGCTTCAAGTGCAAATGACACTGCTCTCCATATAAATGAGAAGTCATCCTCTTCACACCCAGTTCCAATTACTTTGTAATCTCTTGCCTTTTAGGCTTTCTTGTATGAATTATTGGTCATTTGTGTGGGGGACAAAAAAGAAACTGTAATATAATCCCCGTAAAACAAAACAAAACAAAACAAAAAAACCACTAAGCACCTTTTTCATTAAAAAAAAGTTCATAAAAATGGAAGTTCTAGTCCCAACTCCAACCAAACAAGAGTTGAGAGGGTTACAGGGAAAAAAAAATGTTACATCAAATATAATAATGACTGCAGCCTGGGACAAGAGGTGATTCACAATGTCTAGTTAAAAGACCTATCTTTTCCAGTGGAGTGTATTGGCTAGAATAAACAAAAAGATGTCAGGAGATCCCATCAGCGAGGGGTCCTGCAGCAGATCCTAAAGGCAAGTGTCTGTCATACCCACCCCTTCCCACTGGCGGCCTTTGTCTCCTCTTACACACTCGCAGCCTTTTGTGCTCCGGCTTTCTTGCTCTCAAGGGATATTTTCTCATTCCCTCATGTGTTGCTGCTTCAATTACTGGAAAAATTCAGAGCTAGGTTCCCAGCTGCATAGTTTCCTAAATGTTGTTGCAGAAGAGGGGAAGAGAAGGTATTCTGCCCCACCTTAGTGCAAGGTAAGTCAGAAAGCTGCTGCATCGAAGGGCTCCAGGTAATGACCAGAAAGACTTTGGCACGGGCAATCCTAATGGACCTGGCTCTTCCTTCCAGGTCTCTGGGTTAATTTAGACAGAACTCATAAAATATCAGAGATTGAATGCTACCCAATGCGAGTATTGATTTATTAGATATATATATATTAGCAATATTTTGTATATATACATATACATATACATATATATATACATATACATATATATATATATATATATATATATATATATATAAGACAACTAATGTAGTCTGTAAACATCATCTGCACAAATACAGGGTTGGATTCATTACACAATTGCTTGCATTGCTCCTGAGTAGGGCTCAGGACCTAGACTGCCCAGGTTGAAGGGTGAGGGTCTTGTTTTCAGTCAATGCAAAGGCTAACCTAGCATCTACATAATTACATTCTGAATTGTGGACACTATCTTGGCACCTGAGCCCCTCTTTTCAAATCTGAAGCCATACATCCTTATTTATTGTTATTAAGAGGGTCACTGGACAGCTGCGTAGAAATCAGGTCACATGACGCATCCCAATAGACCCACACAACATGCTCAGCAAACATGAAGTCCTTTCTCTGGTCCTCTCTCTAACATTTAAGCTGGCTTGCCCTCTCCTCTCAATCTTTACGAGTCACTATATTTTTCAATGCTTTTCAATTTTGCTCAACCTAAAAGCTTCCAAAGTGGTTTTTTTTTTTTTTTTAAATCCTTAGAGCAACTTCCAGTCCATCTCCTCACACCCCCACCGTCGGAAGCACAGCTTGGAGAAACCAGAATTGTTAAGCACGCAGGCAGGCCTGCTTTCTTCAACTGAAGGAAAAACACCACCTGTTCACTTGGAATGCAGGAGCCAAAGTGGTCAGACAATCTGGTGATCCTTTGGTACTCCTTTTGAAGCCAGCCTTCACCTGAATTTCCCCCAGATCTCGAGAACTGTTCAGGCCCTAATCCTGGGTTTTGCCTCTCAGTGAATAGAACGCACCCTTAAGAAGCCCCATGTGCTCTATCAACAGAATTCAGACTTCCGTTTATTGTTTATTACAATTTTTTCTCTCTAGATCCCAGCCTTGAGCACTGTTGGCCAGTCAGGAGAACTCATTTTTATGATAAAGGTCTCAGGTACTTTGCTAGAGTGGTGTATTTTGCAAGGGAAATTTCTATGTAGCCAACCCTAAAGCTTTGTTATAAGAATTGTCACATGGAGACTTTTGTAGCCATCCTTGAAGCTCTGTTGTAAGAATTGTCACATGGAGACTTTCGCCCCACAGTTCTACTGTGTTTAAATGTGTAAGAAAATTAAACCATGGGATCAGACTCTGGATGTTTTGATCCGGTTTGACTGAGTGAGTCCGGCGGTTCTGAGTTTTCACTCTCACCTCTTTGCTGTTCATTTCTCTGCTGGCTGTGATTCCTGCAGGGACCCTGCAACACTCTACCTCACGGTTTTCAGTGAAACACTTGTGTTTCGTTCCTACACAGTTGTGTAAGATGTCCTCCTCTGTCCGAGGAGAAAGCACATCTGGAGCCAGAAGCCTGAGTCAGACACGTTTTCTTCCCGCCTGCCCTGTGAGTTACTAACGGTCGGAACCAGCAGAGGGAACTTACATCTGCCTCAGCTTCGGGGTCAGCTTCTTGGGGTCCTGGTTCGTGAGGTTCCTGTCTGTTGCCTGGGTCTTCCTCAGCTTCATCTTGGCGTTGGTTCTCTCTCTCATAGGCTAACAAAGCAAAGGAACCATAATCAGCCCTAAGTGGATCAGGCAGGATTTTCCTCTCACAAAGCAGCCGACCGTGGCTTCCCTGAGATCACATCAATCTATCTCACCTCCGTCTGGGGTAGTGGTATGTCTCTGTCTTATTTTTTTGTTTGTTTTTATTTTTGTTTTCTGAGCAGTTCTGTCCTTTTTCTGGACTGTATGTCAAACGGATGGGTGAATGTCCCATTCCATCATTGCTAAGGGATGTTTATAGCAGACACTGACATTTCCCCACCAGATATGAAAAGCATGATCAAAACTCTTATAATCAAAGAAATTCTATACGATTAAATTTTTTTGGTTAATATCAGAAAAAGAGAGTTTTCCAAAATTAGGACATTTAAAAATGGACAACAACAACTGTGAACTCAGAAGCAGATAGATTGCTGCCAGAAAAACACATCCTGTGCTTATATTGACATAAGAGTTTACTTGATATTCGTTGTGGGTTGGGGAGTACTCAGATTAACAGAATTATAAGAGCACACAAAAACTGTAAATCATTTAAAAGTAAGACATAAGAGAGAAGGTTAAGGATACAGAGAGTTACTTCGTCTGGACATAATAAAGAAACAGGGGAGCCTGCTGGCGAGACGCAAGCGCACAGGGGGACTTATTAAACAAGAAGGGAGCAAATAGCTCTCAGTCTTATGACTAACAAATGGAAGAAGTTAAAGTGACCCACGGGGGATGTGCAGGCGACAGTTTCTTGACTCTTAGGGTTATAAAATACCACAATAGGCTGCTGATTGAGTAAGGGCATGCCTTTGCTTTTCTTTAGACACTTTCTAGAAAATCAAACATTTGTAAGAGTCACTGGCACCAAGCGGAGTTAACTTCAGCTCTACCGCCCCAGGAAGCGGCATTTGACAAATTTCATACTTGATGCTTGCCATAAATACAAGCAAGGGCGCAGACTTCCAAGCTAAGTAGAAAAGAGAGAAAGTTCCCAAAGAATACCAGTCCTGTGGTTGTTGTCATAAACAACCATTAAGCACACAGTGGGATTCAACAGAGGGAGAATGTTGTAGAAAAAAGCCATTCTCTTCACCAGTTTTCACTAGTGCTAAGTATTTTTGCCAGGACTCAGACCAAACGTAAAAACAGCATAAGCGTGAGTCACAGCTGCTCTCCGTATTTACACAGGTATGCACTCTGCCTGTGGGTGCTGCGGAATGTGCTCCTCGATATGGTGTGGTATGACCGAGTCATTGGACGGAAGGGTCAGCATCTGAGGAGTCTCACCTCCTCCCTCTTCTTCATGGATTCCCTGGTCCTCGGCTCCCTGCACGACGTCGTTCTCTACAGCATTGTAATTAACTTGCTGCCTGCCAGGGACATAAATTCAGAAATAAAAATTAACAGCCACAGCTTGGAAAGGTCATTTATCTTTCAAGACAGGGATAAAAAGGGATTTTCAACTTTTAAAATGAGCCATAACTTGTTTCTGGGATTTAGATACACACTAAAGCACAGTAGTGACACCAGATACGTTTTCAAAGCACACCATGAGGAGGTAAATGTCATTTCACGATGAATAATAAAGTTAGCACTAAGTCGGCTAGTCTGTTTTGAGATCTATTACTTTTATTTATTTATTATTTTGTGAGGTTTGCGTGTGATGTGTGTACGTGTTAAGTTTTGTGAGAGGTGTACCACCATGCTACAGCACATGCCAGGTGGTCAGAAGAAAACCTTGCACACTGTCCTTGACGTCAACCTTGTTTGTTTGCCTCCAAGTACTCTGTTTGGCTGCGAGCTTCCAGAGAGTCTCCTCTCTCCATCTCCCACCCTGGTGTACTAGCCCTGGAATTACAGGCTGTATGCCATGGTACTTAGATTGACAAAGATTCTGGGGATTTGAACTTAGGTCCTAATGGTTGTGTGTCAAGCCCTTCATCACCAAGCTACCTTCTCAGCCCATAACTACTACATTTATTAGGAAGAAAAAAATTATGCTAAAATTAAGTAGCTAGCATTTAATTCCCCAATATTCTTTTCCTACCTTGTCTACTTGAGCAATAGGAGCCTGCCCGCCTGCCACGGGTTCAAGGGCTACACATACACAAAACTGATTTGACACCAGAGGAAGGACTGTCTACACCCACCCAGGGGATGGGGCAGGATACCGTAGCTGCTGCGGGTGCTGCGGCTGCTGGACGTCCCCATGCTCTGCCTGCTTCTGCTGAGCCATCTCTCTGGCCAGGAGCTGCTGCTGCTGCTGCTGCCGAAGCAGGTGTCCATGTAGCCTCTGTTGGTGCAAAGCTTCTGGGTGTTCTCTCAGCCTCTGGGCTTCCTCATCCCTCCTTGCCGCCAGCCTCTGCTGCTCCAGCTGCTCCTCATACGGGGAGCGGAATTTTGTGACTGCCTTGGTTGAATGGTCCACCTGGAGCAAAAAGAGTTGATGCTAAACCAGAGGGGCTGGAGCCTCCGGGCACTCCCTTCGTTTTCTTGTCAGGACAAACGCAGGAGGCAGGGTGGACTTCTTAACACTTTACGGCAGGTGACCCCTAATTATCCATAAAGTACAATATCTCATAATTTCCATCTTTCTCTGAATGGCCTCGGCCGTCTTATAGCAGACCTGCCAGCTGGAAAGCCGTCTTTCAGTGTGTTCCAGCTCAAATGGAACAGAGCACAACACAAGAAATCAGTTCCACCCTTAATTAAATTTATGTGCCGAGGTTCCGAATCAAGTTGGCACTTGGTAACCCCACACTAATTGCACAATTTTTGAGGCTAAGGCTTTGCCTAGGAATAGTTAAAGACCCAAGGATGCTAATTAACTCCAAACAATGGGCATGGCAGTCTCAGGCTAAACAAAATGTCAAATCTCAGCTTATACTGACGAAGCCGAGAAGAGAAAGAGAGATAGAGGTAGAGATGAGAGAGAGAGAGAGAGAGAGAGAGAGAGAGAGAGGATGCCTGTGTGTTGTGCTGTTCAGATGTGAGTGTGGGTGTCTCCTCAGCTGTCATTCCTCAAATGCCACCTTGCAGATGTTTGTTTTGTTTTGTGTTTGTTTAAGACAGGGTCTCCCATTGACCTGGGATTTGCTGAGTTACGAAGGCCTGTGAGCCCCAGGAATCTGCCTTTCTCTGCCACCCAGAACTGGGACTGAATTACACTTTGTTTTCTATTTGGGTTCTTGGACATTGAACCCGGGACCTCATGCTTGCAAGTGGGCAATTACTGACTGAGCCATCAATCATGCCTGCCCCAGAGAAGAGATTTTATATAAATAAACTATGCATGGATGCAGAAATGCATTCTGATTAGAGGAAAATCAAACACAGCAGTTCTTAAAATCCTGCTCCCCAATGAGTTATACATCTTCCTTCCCTTCCCTCCCCAATTAAAATACACACATTCAATTGTCAGCAAAAGGAAAAGGGCACAGTTGAGGACCACAGGGCTAAGGGGAGGATGGCAATGGCATTGGGATACAAAGTTTACAAGGATGTGAGGGGTCTTCACACCTACGAAGGCTGAAGCGTCACACAGCTTCATGTCTCAGAGACTAGGTGGACAAATAAAGCCTCAGCATCACAAAGAAATCATCAGCATCCATGGGTATTATCATTGGGTATGAGTTTGGAGATGGTGAAGAAAGGTCCCTGGCTGCACTCAATGCTGGTTGACATTAAGTTCCTTTAAAGACACTGGCTGTTTTTGTTTGTTTTGAAGGTAGGAATGTATCTCAGATGTCAGCGACAAGCCGAGGAGGCAGTACCTGAGGAGAGACTGGTAAAGGTATTCACTCACGGGCATGTGTGGAAGTGGTAAGTGAGTAGGTGTATAAGTGGCATGTGGGAAAGTGGTAAGTGGTAAGCAAGCGGTAAAGAGGTAAGAGCTTTTGAGTCATCTTTGACAGCAATGGGGGCAAAAGCTGGCATTGTAACTGGAAGTCAATGACTAGAAGGAGGACTCTTTATCACAGAAAAGTAGACGTATTTCCACATCAGGATACTCCAGGTGGGACTTAGGCTTTTCTGGGGAGGCGCCCAGTTGGGCGCTCCCCTGCTGCACTGTCGGGGATATGAGGACGAGTCTCTTGTGCAATATTGACAATGGGGGGATATATAGGTCTACAAGGAGCAATTGCTCTGATCACCAACCACCTTCTGGAGCTATACTGTGCCATTAGTCTTACAGCAGAATATTTAAGGGCAAGCAAAGAACATTCAGTGAAATCTTTCAAAAACATTTGTAGAGACTGATTCATAGAGAGGCTTCTTTCTCTCTCTCTCTCTCTCTCTCTCTCTCTCTCTCTCTCTCTCTCTGTGTGTGTGTGTGTGTGTGTGTGTGTGTACCTCTAGTGTCCTTCTTTAAGTGCTATTCACCTTGCTTTTTAAAAACACGATCTCTCTCCGAAACCTGGACTTTCTAGTTAGGCTAGGCTGGCCAGTGAGCCCCAGGGAGGCATTGGGCTGCTTCCCTAGTGCAGGACTACAAAAGCACACCACTACATCCAGCTTTTTACATGGAATCTGGAGACCGAACTAAGGTTCTCACACTTGCATGTCACTGACTGGGCATCTCCACAGCCCCATTACATTTTCATTAGTACCTAAAACCAAAGGCAAATTCCCCATCAGAGAGAACTTCGAGTACCCATGCACCTCAGCTTGAGGGCGGCCATCCAGAAGGTGGGCTGCGTCCTGACCCTGCTGATCTCGCCACTCCCGGTCCTGCTCCTCTGGTGGTGGATCATGTTCTTCCTCTAGATGCTCTGCCTGCCCCACCTGCTCCATTTCCTCCTCCTCCAGGGCCTTCCTGTGCTCCTCTTCCACCTGACGCTCCTCTGGCTCTCTGGGTTCCACTTGGTTCTGCTCTGCTGGAGCCTGAAATCCTGCTTCCTTCTGCATGGAAGAGAAAGGTTTCTCTTCTGTTCTCCTAGGCGCTGCTTCATGGTTCTGCCACACCTCGTTATGTAGAGACACCTAAGATAAGCACAGCACAAAAAAACTATTTCAAAAGTAATGACATTATTCTTTTAATACCACTTTAAAGGGCTACAGCATAAGCAAAGTCCTAGAGTTTAGAAATATACACAACTGTGACTTAAAAAAGAAAACAGGTATGATGGAATGATTTAATTCTCACTGTGTCATTTCTCCCTAAGACAGAAATAATTTAGGTAAAATTCTATCTCAGAGAATCGTCAGTGACCAGGAAAGCGAAGCCTACCAGCAACCATGCATCAGGAGAAAACTTCCCCTAAAGGCAACCTGACTCCAGCTTTCCTTAGAACAGAAAGGAGATAAACAACAAGCCGAACAAGAAAATCCAAAACCCTCAATCCTGCCGCTCACGGCTTCTGAAAATTTCTTCAAGGTCAACTGCCTTCTCAACAGATATTGGAAAGGACTAGGGTACGATGTAGGATTCAGTGGATGAAGGAGTAGGCTGGTTCCTTATCAGCTTCATTATAATCAAAGGGACTTATATTACCAATAGACAGCCATGGCAGTTTAAAATAGTTTCAGCTCAACAAGACACAAAACGTTCTTTGTTATGACGTTTCAATTTATGCCAGCGTTTGTACTGTACAGACACAGCTGTTGATGTTGGAGGTCAGCTTCAGGAGTTATCCATCTTGGATGTTGAGACAGGGTCCCCTCCTTAGGGTCCACGGGCCCACGAATTAGACTAGACTGGCTAGTCAACAAGCCCATGATCCCCGTGTCTCTGCTTTCCCAGCACCGGCATTCTGAGCACATGCTACAATGCTAGGCTTTTTAAATGGGTGCTAGGGATTGAACGTAGGCATGTGGCAAGAATTTTGCTGAGTTATTTTTCCCAGCCCCGATAAAATATTAATGTGTCTTATTACATCTTCTGTAAACCGAAGTCAGTCTGTGTATTTACTTTACACTGTCAATACAGAAAACTAAACCAAGGGAAAAAAAAACTTTTTTAGAAAATGTCTTCTCTAAAATCTGTTGAGTCATATCCATATTTTCTGTAAGTTTCCAACCTTTCTTTGATCTATATTAGTTAGGAAGATAAAACACTGATAGGAAAATCTGTAGTGCCTTTTCCCTCTTCTTCATCAAAAAGAAAGTTACTTCCTTGGTCAGATTAATTTCTTATAATTAGATGCCTAGGGGACCACATCATGAGCAATTTGAAATGGGAAGCCCTACTCTGAAGATAGCCAGGGATATAATTATCACTCTTGAAAAAGTCAAGAGAGTAAATCATGAAGTGGGGAGAAAAGTTCTTCCTTGAATATCTGGGAATGTCTACAGGTGTACATTTTGACAAAGTCTTCCGGCAAGTTTGCTACAAAACTGCCTTGTAGAAAATATTTCTCTCAAGGGCTCTAAGTACTTTCAAACACTGCCATTTATCCCCACTCTGTCCCTGTGAGGAATGTTAGGGGCAGATAACTACTATCTCCAGCTCACAGGTGGAACAAACCAAACTCTCAGTCATCAGACGGTGAACCCAATGAGGTAGAAGTCAGCTTAACAGGACACAGAGTCAAACGACAGTCATGTGATCCCATTTTGCCATCTTAAACTTGTGGTTATAAATCCCCAAGAAGGGACCAGATTGCAAGAACCTCAAGCCTGTTTGTGAAGGATTGCTCTGATGATGCTAAAAACATTCATCTGAGAACTCCATCGATGTTGACTTCGTTACTGCCATAAACTGGTCACTTGGAGACAAGACTCTCAACCATTTACTGCAAACCCATCACAGCAAGCATGTGGAGGTCAGAGAACACCTCTTTACCTTCCTCCATTTGGGTCCTGTCAATTAAACTCGGCTCATTAATCCCCGAGGGAAAGGGTCTTTACCTGCTGAGCCATTTGCCAATCCATACAAGTAACTTGTAAGAATTAGTGATAAGCAAGACCATACTGGTGATGCTCCCCGTTTGAAACACACTCAAGCAAGCCTTGATTTTCGTGAAGAACAAGAATAAACTGGATCACGGTCGGGTTACACAGGTGTTTTAATATGATTTTGCCATGCTCTATGTAGACCCAGCAGTGTAGCAAGTTCCATTGTATTAATGTTAATAACAGAGTGGGCTGCCACATACTATTCTCATGACATTTAAAAACCTTTTCACCTACTCGACGGAGAGAAAAATCATCTCACCTTCAAATATTCAGATACCAGAGCTCCTTTAACACATGTAAATTTACATAGAGAAAAACAAAGCCAGGAAAGCCTTTCCCAGTAAATGCTACAGCTTTAATTTATCAGTGTTTTTTCTCCAGACAAGCTGAATTGGTTAGAAATACAAATCCCCAGACCAAACCTCAAAGGAACTGAATTGGAAAGTGGAGCTGGGGTTATGGGGATTTGTATTTCTAACCAATTCAGCTTGTCTGGAGAAAAAACACTGATAAATTAAAGCTGTAGCATTTACTGGGAAAGGCTTTCCTGGCTTTGTTTTTCTCTATGTAAATTTACATGTGTTAAAGGAGCTCTGGTATCTGAATATTTGAAGGTGAGATGATTTTTCTCTCCGTCGAGTAGGTGAAAAGGTTTTAAATGTCATGAGAATAGTATGTGGCAGCCCCACTCTGTTATTAACATTAATACAATGGAACTTGCTACACTGCTGGGTCAGGATTTCGAAAGCTCGGAATCCTGTTCAGAGTATCTTTCAGCTGTTTATATTCTGCAACTTGAGTCTGCATATAAATGGTACAGTTGAGAGAAAATTGCACAAATTGATGAGAAAAAGGAGACAACGTTCATAGATTAATTAATTAGATGGGCTCTTAGGTTCTCTGGATGACTAGAAAAACATTAAACCTAAGTTTGTTAGCAAGGTTGCAGATGGCCTTCATGCACTAGGACTTCCTCTTTGGTCATGCTTGACCATCTCTGAGCACATGCAAATTAGAGTCAGAATTAAGAGACGGAAAAAATATCCAAGACATGTTAGTTGCCCAGGCTATGTGAGTCAAAATCAGAACTCTGTCAATCATTCTATTATAAACATCATTAATAAAGGACAGCTATGCAATCAGTGTTTTATCCTATTTATCATATCATATCGATAAGCTTAAGACTTACATGGTTATTCAAATTGAGACCCATTAACACTATGCCCTGAGTTATAACTTCCAATAGACTGACTATCTATCTATCTATCTATCTATCTATCTATCTATCTATCTATCTATCTATGTTTACCCTCTTCTCCTTAGTTGATTTATGCTCAAGTCGGGTCCTTTACTTGCTACTTTCAAGATTGCTTTCTATACTGTGCTCAGAGGTAGCAGAGAACAGTGAAATAGGGGGGAAATGAAGCTGGATTTTTATTCATCAATTCTGAATGTCCTTCAGGCTTAACGTGACAAAGGCAGTGTGTGAGTACAGGACTAGTACAGGACTAGGACAGGACTGGAATGCTCTCACAGAGGTGCATCTGAGTATGTTTGATGTGGAACGGGCAACAGTCTGTTGCTTATTTTTTTTTTAACAAACAGCTAGAAAGGTAGAAAATAAGCCAATAACTTTAACAAAACCAGTAGATATTGCATATACACACTTCACGCACACTTCCACTCTTATCCTAAAACTGTGTAAATAAACACTTACACAGAACTTCTGTTCCTCCATGACTAGGGAGAAGCACTGTTCTACCTCCTTTTTAAAAAATGTGTGTGTATGTGTTTTTGTGTACATATATGACATGCATACAGCAAATATGCATAAGAGTGTGCATGCACATGTGGGCACATGTATGTGGAGGCCAAGGTCAATATCAGGTGGCTTTCCTCTGTTGCTATTCATCTTACTCATTTTTTTATGACAAGGCTTCTCATAAACCTGAAGCTCACTGATTCAGCTAGGATGGCCAGCCAATGAGCTCAAGGGTCCACCTGTCTCCAACCAACTCGTAGTTGAAATTATGTTTATGCTTCCACATCTGGCCTTTTCTGTGGTGACTGGGGATCCGAACCCAGGTCTTCATGGTTGTATGGCAGGCATTATACTGATGGAGCCATCTCCCAGCTCTGCTTTGTCTCTTCTAGTTTTCAAAGAATGAAGATGTTAGCTAGCTAAATATGTATCAGAGGAGTACTCTCTTATAATTTGTATAAAGTGTAACATGTAGCTGACAGTGGCCTTTACGTCAAAAAAAATCAGTCAGAACATTTAGGAATCAACATTTGAGATCAAACAAGACAAAACCAATGGCATTCACATAGTAATGCTTTTATGTGGTGGGATATATAAAATTCAATTTCCTGCATTCTTTTTCTCTTTCTCCAAGGCAATGCTTCTCAACCTGTGGTTCGTGGCCCCTTTGGGGGTTGAACAACCCTTTCACTGGGGTTACACAAGGTCATCTTCATATCAGGAATTTATTACGACTCATAACAGTAGCAAAAATACATATATGAAGTAGCAATGGAAATAACTTCATGGTTGGGGGATCACCACAACATGAGGTACTGTATTAAGGAGTCACAGCATTAGGAAGGTTGAGAATCCACTGCTCTAAGACGTGTAATCCATGAAGGTAGTCAAGTTGTGGTTTTGATATCAGTGTACATTAAGGAACATATTAAAATGCATAGAGTCTGTGGCCTCCACTCCAGAAATTATACTTTTAAAAAACATTTTTTAAAATTATATGTGTGTGTGTGTGTGTGTGTGTGTGTGTGTGTGTGTGTGTGTGTCTGTGCAGATATGTGTACAGTGAATGCAAGAGAGCCTAGTGGTCAGAAGAGGATGTGGAATCCCCTGGGGCTAGAGTGGTTTAAGTCTCTGAATGTGAGTGCTGAGAAATGAACTTAGGTTCTCTGCAAGAGAGGTATCTGCTCTTAACTGCTAACCATCTCCCTAGACCTAAGCTATTATAGTCCACAAGGTCTGAGGAAGGGCCCACACACCTGTGCTGCTGAATAAATAAGTCTCATCAACGCAACCAAGAATGTGACTTTGATACCAGGCACTGGAGTTACAATTTTTGGTGGGTAGGTACTTTTCTCAGGCTAACTACTTAAGTTCCTTTTGACCTCAGTTTACCAGTTTACTTAGTTATAAAGGAACACAGGGTATATAATATACTAGATTATGAAGATTTTTTTAATTAATTTTATTATTGTGCAATGTGTGATATATACGTGTGTGTGTGTTTCTCTTTGTCTCAGCCTCTGTCTCTAACTCTCTCTCTCTCTCTCTCTCTCTCTCTCTCTCTCTCTCTCTCTCTCTCTCTCTCTGTGACTGCATGTCACAGCACATCTGTGCATGTCAGAGGACTTTCTTTCCATGTCTCCTGGATTCTGGGGATCAAACTCTGCTTGAAAGGCTTGTGTGGCGAGCATTTTACCCACTGAACCATCCATAAGCCCACGATTATGAAGATTAAATAAAATTCTCAACCATTTTTAAAAATGAACCTGTCAAGGAAGAATCTCAAAAGAGGATTTTGCATAAGGTATAGAAGCCAGAAGTAGCAATTTTCCCTTCCTTGGAAATTTGGATAAAGTTCTGAGATGATGTTATTTACTGAATGTGTGTTTATTTGAAGTTTGATCTCTTTTGTGATGGCAACAGAAGGTTGGTATATTAGAAGGTACTCAGGTCCTAAGGGTGGAATCCTCATAAATGAAGTTAGTGCCCGCATAAAAGGAATCCAAGACAACACAAGAAGCCAGGAGCCAACAACCCAGAGGAAGGTCCTCATAAGAGTCTGAATGTAGGCATTGGAATCTGGGACACCCAGCTTCTGGAACTATGACAACTTTGTGTGTCTAAGCCGCCAGTCAATGGTATTTTATTTTTTTACATCAGCGCAAATTAATAGAGACATATGACTCTAATTAAGGGAATTAAGGGATGCACTAAGTTATAGCGTAAGTATTAAGACAAAACAAATAAACGAAAAAAACAACAAAAACCTCCGTAAGGCAGAACTTTGATCACCCTCCAATTAAAATACTTGGAGTTATAAAAGCAGTTAAATATACTAAACAATTAAATAGAAAACTATACATATTTTTTGTGTGTATATAAAATTACTTTATTTGTTGTAGAATTCTTTCAGGGGTGGGGAGAGGGAACCAGGTGGGTTCCTGGAGGTGACTGGAATCAGTGAGTTCCAGAACAACAAAAGCCTATCTCAAAGTGGAGGATGATCTGAGGAATGATACTTTAGCTTGACCCTCTGGCTTCCACCAACACATGTGTGCACACAAACATGCGTATAAGAATAACAGAAAGTTCGAAAACTGGCTCAGTAATACTGCTAATGTGCTTAGTGTTAAGAACTTGGTTTGGGTCATTAAACCAACCCTTTTAATTCTATTTCTGCACATTTTCAGATTGATGCTTATTGTAGTATTTATGACTATTACAGCACAGTGTTCAAATCAGCTTACCCCATTTTGCTCCGTGAACCTCACAGAAAATAACACTTGACAAATCTTATGAAGAAGACGCAGAATGCAATGGTGTGTAGAGTCAACCACTTCATATATAGGTAAAAATCATCATGAGCAACAGAATAGGAGAGAGACACCCACTTGACAAAGGTCCCCAAGGAGGGGCGGCTCACAAGGCCCTACCCCTAGCTGAGGAAGCTATGGGCAGCCGAAGGCAGCTGGGAGAGGGATAATCAAAATTCTCTGAGTGTTAGGTTTCCAGTGCCCCTCTGTATGTCCCACACCCGTGCACACATAGGCAGCTGAAGTGGGCACAGTGAGGTAAAAAGAAAATGGAGGACATGAAGTTGGAAGGGGGATGAGTTGAGGGTACAAGGGAATTTAAGAGGGAAATGCTAGGTAAATATCATCAAGAATTGTATACATATAGGAAATTATCAGGGATTAACTTAAAATATTGAAAAAAAATTAATGTGAGAGTATACTTACAAAATTAAAAAGCAAAATGAATCGTTTTTATGTTTTAAAAAAAATCCTAGTCCCCTAAATGCAAAAAGAAATGAGTCTTTGAAATAGGTCTGAGCCCAATGCATTATAGCTGTTTATAATTTTAATAATAAAAGTGAGTGACTAAGCCAGGCACTCCCAACTCTCTGGCTCTCAAGCTCTTCTCATTTAGATCTCTCCTTAACAAGCTCTCCATAGCTCGTATTTGATTGTTCATTCAGTTAACAGACATACAGCAAGAGCATGGCTTATGTCAGGGGCTACTCTAGTCTCTGAACAAATGGAGATGATGACTCTTTGTTTTCCATTTTTCACTGACCCTTCTGCTTTTCTGGGATATGAATAGCCCTATCTAAGTCTTGTCCCAAAAGGAGTCTATACATACAGCCTGCAATACTGGGAATAAGGGAAGGAGAAAAGAAAAGGTCTGGGGATGATTTCCTTAGGTAGTCAGCATCACACAGCCCTGTATCCCCTTTCCTAAGACAGGACCCAGGCCAGAGAGGTGCAAAAGACCGGATTTGTGGGCCACGCTGTGAGTTAAGCATCAGAACCTTTCCTGTAGGATGTGGTAGAGGCAGAAACAGTCATGTACCAAAAGCAATGGAAAGTTTATTTAGTAGTCTCTTCGGTGACTTTGAAAAGCATGCATTGTCCCCAGGATTAGGAGTGCTGTCAGAAGTAATTCTCGGAAGACTGTGTTGTGAAAACCTCCATGCATAAAGGAATTCAGAAGTGGTAAGCAGACCTTAAAAGGACCCAACAACGGCTGCTTCCCTCCTAACCTGAGCAGCGGCCAGTGCACTCTTGTGGTCTTCCAAAGTCACTACAAGCCGTTCATGCTCGTTGAGTAAATTCTTATGCTGTTGCTACACAAAAAAGAAGTTTACACATTGAGCTGAATTCACGTCACAAAACATAGTTCTTTGGTGTGGGCTCCCAAATGTTATTTGCTTGTTGTTGTAGCAGCATTGGTTAAGTTTAAAAAAATCCCTAGAGCGAGGTGTGATGTATGGGGTATTCTGAAATCTATCAAAAGGGCTACCCAAATAAACCTTTCATTAGCCATCATCAGCTTTGGTAAATAAAAACCATCTTAAAGTGTAAACAGCCAATAAAAGAATGAGTTCAGTATTTTTTTATACAAATATTCAGATACCCTAGGCCACTTTTAGTTTATGATGCTGAAGTGGCAAAAGTATCAGATATACTCCAGGTATGCAAGCCTATGGTGGTAATCTGGGTTTGCAAAGCAGATCAATTGGGAATTAGTTTAAAAGCAGAAGAAAAACTTTATTTTTATTTTTTAGGGGTGTGTGTGTGTGTGTGTGTGTGTGTGTGTGTGTGTGTGTGTGTGTGCGTGTGTGTGTGTGGTGGTGGTGGTGGTGGTGGTGGTGGTGGTGGTGGTGGTGGTGGTCATGGGGTACGCATGTGAGTGCAGTGTCCACAGAGGACAGAGGAGGACATTGGATTCCCTGGAGATGGAGATATTGTTGGTTGTGAGCTATGGTACTGGGAGCCAAACTTGGTTCCTCTGCAAGAGCAGCAAGCACTCATGATCCTTGAGCTATCTTCTCAGCTTCCAGGAATGACTTTTGAAGTCATTCTGCAAAATAAAAGCGACAAATTCCCCAGAGCCAAAGTCTGATTTCACCTTACCTTGACATCTTGAAGCTGTGTGTGAATGTCTTGGTGTGCTTTTCTTAGTTGTTTATTCTCTTCTCTCAAGTTATAGACAGTTTCTGTTTTATAACAAGAACAACCATACATGAATACTGGGAATTCTCTAGTTTTATATGTCATTATTTGAAACCTGAAAACTTATTTAAGAATGTGTTTTGAACTTTAACAGTAAAATACTCCAAATCAACAAAAGACTGTATCATATTGGTACACAGCATGAGTTCAAGGGCTCATTGCAAAATGACCTGGTTCATTGGCTTAAGACTCTGGAAACAGGCTATGCATTACAGATGAAGTCAACAATGCTAATCACACAGGTGTTGAAAATGAAACATTGCTGTTAATAAATGAGCCCTTGGGACTAAATGTATGGGCAGGTGCTCTCTGATTTGAGGATCTTTACCAATGAAAAATAGTAACGAACAGAACAGATTTTTTCTCATAGCATGAATAATTTTCACATCCCCTCACAAGGTACTTCAATTAGAGACAATAGAAACCCTCCTTAACTGATAGCCTCTAATTTTTTTTTACTGCTATCACTGAGTTCTTGGTTAATCTAAATTCTGCTCTGAGTAGGTCTTTTCCGAGATAAAATGTGAAAGTGTGGAATCAGAGAGAGCACCTAAAACCTTCCCTCCAAGCTCTGTTCAGTTACCAGCTTCCTCTGGCAAATTCTAGATCTACCTCTCTAGTTTTAGAAATTCTACCATTCCATGTGTCGTACAAGTACTATTCAAACACACAGACTTAGTGGTTTTTGAAAATTTTGTCTACATAGTCTTTTCCATATTTGAATATTCATCAGTGTTGAAAGACGGATCTAAGAATATCTGGCAATATTAGGCCAATGATTTTGTAGCAATACATAAATAACATAAGGGAAGCTGAATGCTGGCAGGGTGATTATATAACTTATTTTGGAAGAGGCAATGCTGTGAGAAAGAAAGGGAGCACGATTAATACATGAGCCAGGACAGCAGGCATTATATAAATCTAGACTGCCCCGGGCAAACTGTCCCTGTACAGGGATACTTCAGCAGACAAGGCTCCATCTCTGCAGGGTACGTTAAGCACTAAAGGAGAGTTTCAGTCCCCTTGGACAGATTTACTTTCTTACTGCCCCTTCTCGACACCCGGGCACAGGATTTATGACTACATTTGGGTAAAAAAAAATTAAGAACAAAGTAGGACCGGGCCTTCCCATCACAGTGGATTTTTCCAGAAGTCAAAACAGGACACCACTGGCCATCTCTAAGGACCTTTAGTGTACTACAGGCTGCATGGGGCTTTCAACACTTGACCTACCTCAACTTGACTAGCTAGTTGTGGATTTTAGTTTGCAAACTTATTGGCAGTGGCTTCCATGCCTTCCCTGGGCTTCTGCCAGCAAGTTTTGCTCAGCACCCTCCAGTTCTTCATATGTTAAATAAAACAAGACACCTGGCTGCCTGCCTGCAGGTTGGTGATGAGAATTCAGTAGAACCATCCACTGGAAGGATTTCACCTGGTCCTAATACGTTACAAAAATGTGTTATCAGCTATTACATTCATAATAATCAAGAGCAATTATCTAAGTTTCCATGCTGTCAGCCTTCCTTGGGAGAGAGAGGGAGAGGTCTAGAATACTCTTCTTGTGTCGCATTAAGCTATCCAAGATTGCCTGCGCTTCATCACCTAGCCACCGCTGCCCTTCATCGATCACAAAATACTTTAACTTTGTTGCCTAAACCTTTTACCCAGAGTCATGTCGTAGTTCCACTTCGGCTTCTGGGATAAAATACCTCTGGCCAAGGCACCTCGGGGGAGAAAAGGTTTACTTTACTTCACAGTGCCAGGTTACACTCCACCCCTGTGGTGAAGTCACTGTGACTTGGTACATCTGTTCACATTGCATTGATAGTCAGGAAATGGAGAGGAAGCGAGATCTAGACTCCGCTCCCTCAATCATTTCATTCAGTCCAGGACTCAACCCATGAAATGATGCTGTTCACAATCAAGTTGAGACACTACTCAACTCAGTTTCAGATCCCTTCAAGAAACTTCTTCCAAAAGTTGATTCTGCAAGTGTGGTTTTTCACTTTCTATCTCTCCTAAGTGGGGTGTGTGTGTGCGTGTGTGTGTAATGTCTTTTCTTAAGGATGACCAGCTCCCTAAGGCATCCCACCTTTCCACTTTTGTCCTGGGTGCAAAGTTCTGAGGCTGAAATAGCGTAGTAGTCAGAATCACATATATGTATCCTCCTATTTTCTGTAGCTCTGATTTCTTCTATATGGACTACCACAATTTTACTGTATGTGTATCTTGCTTTAAAAGTAATGAGAAAGAAGATGGAGAGATGGTTCAGAGTTTGAGAGCACTTACTGCTCTTCCAAAGGATCCTGGTTCAATTCCCAGCACCCACAGGGCAGCTCACAACCATCTGTAACTCCACTTCTGGGAGATCTAATGCCCCTTTGGGGCCTCCAGAGGCATGAGGCATGGTAACAGGCTAGCAGTGCACAGACATATGTGCACAGGAAACACCATATAAATAAAACAAGAACTATAAAAAAAACAAAAAAACCAATGGATTATGTGCATAAGAGAGGTTGCTAATCAGTGTGACTTCCAGAGTTAACTGCACTACATAATACAAAGACCTCCAAGGAGCCCAGCACCTGTGTGTAGCCCTGTTGAAACGGTGGACAAAGGCATCTCTAGCCCTATCAAATACCTTTCAGCTTAGAAAGCTCTTGCTCCTTTTCTTGCTGAAGCTGCAGGTATCTCTGCTTGTGGTCATTGAACGTTCTGCTGAAGTCTTCCCCTTGCTTTCGATGTTCCTCTTCCAAGTCACTGTGCTGTTTCTTCAGCTCCTCATGCTGACTCTGCAAGATGAATACGTGAGCAAAGACACGTTCTCGAAATCATGCGAGAGTCTATTTCTTGGCGGCATGGCCTTTCTCTCATCAGAAGGAGAGAGTGAATGATGGGAGTGAGTTCAGGTGAGGTTGTGTTCTGCATCAGAAGGCTAGAGTGAATGAAGGTGTGAGCTCAGGCAAAGTTGTGTTCTGTTTGTGTAGTTCCTTTTTGTTTCCTTTCCTCTTCAATTGAGACCATGGGAAAATACAAATCTCCCCTTACTTCTAAACGTCAGTAAGAGGAAGAAGCTAGCATCAGAGTTGAGAAAGGGTGGGGTGGGGAATCTGAGGCTATTCCTTGGATTCAAATTACTGTAGAAACAAAGTAAGGTAACAATAAAACTTAACCTTAGCCATTTTGTCTATTTTCTGGACTTAACAAGCAAGATCAAGGCTCCACAGTATTCATGGGACGATTCAGGGCAACTCTAAGCTTCAGCTACTTAAATCTGAAAAGGCTCAAGACTGTTTATAGGATAGTATTTGTACATATTCACTTCCATGTTTTCAATCATTTCTAGATTGCTTACGCTACCTAATTCACCATAAATACTATTGCCTGCAATACCAAGAAAAGGCAAGAGACAGTCTGATCATGTTCAGTATGCACTTAATTCTCTGCTAGACATCTTAGAAATATACAAGGGCTGGCCTTTTGACCCCAAAGGACCACTTTATTCAATATCTCTTTGATTTCCAGTGTTCTAGTAATCCAGTTTGAGAGAGAGTGGTGGGTGTAGAGGAGATGGAGCAGGAGAGGGAACAGACTCTCTTCCCTTTGGGGAAAGTAATGAACTGTTTCTAGAATTAATTTTTATTTATTTGATTTTATATTATAATTCTACACAGACATCACGAGTTATTTAAATTCTACATTCTCCAAATAGTTATGTGGAAGATGCCCTGCTTTAAGTTATGGACTGCACTCTTGAATGTGGGAGAGGCTCTGGTTTCAGTGGAAAGTGTGTGCTCTGCTGATGTGAAAACATAGAAAACACTGAACTAATACATGGGCAGAGACCAGGGCAGGATTTGCACACAGTGCTGGACGCTCTGCTACTCCTTTCCCCCAGCTTGACGGAATCAATGACTCTCTCCCTTCACTTTTTTTGTGGTTTTGGTCTTCCTGACACTTGATAGTGAGTTTTACCCAGGGCCTAAGGAAGATATTTAGATAATAAACTGTGTTCTTGGGGTAGATAAAAATACATCTCTTAAACATTAGCAACACAAAGGAAGCTTTTGAGTTGTACACACTCCAGTCTGTCTAAGATAAAAGAAAAACCACCACGAGAGACCAAGTAAACAATGAACTTTAAAGATACCAAAGAGAACAACATTTAAAAAGTAGGACCAGAAAGCCCAATTATTGAAAAAGAAAATGGGCAATATATTAGCCACCTTTTTTGTATAAAGGTAATAATCATGTTGAGGAACCAAAACTACAATTTTTAGCCAACTATGACTCTATATACTAAGTCAACTTTCTACAAACCTTCTCTTTTATTACATTAGTGATGGTTAATTAGTTCAAATATTGCCTACTCCTTTCTTCATTCATACAGGACACGTTAGGTTACTTACTTTCAGCATCTGATGCTGGACATTCAATGCACTGTATCTGCTATTGGAATCTTGCTGTAAATAAAAAGAAAATCAAATCAACAAAAGGTAGCTGATCTGGGTATTTTGCCAAGAACAGCTTGACTCGCTTAATAAAAGATTTTCAGTTTTGCTTGGTAAGCTAACATAAATTCTCTGATAGAGACAGTATATCTTGAGGGCCATCTCTTTTCTTTCTTTATTTAGCAGTATTCGAGATTGAACTCAGGGCCTTGCAAATACTAGGCAATCATTCTACCACTGAGCCACTCCCTACGAACTCCTATTTCTTCATTTAAGAGCAGAAACAAGGTTTCACTTTTCTCCTGGGTTTGTTAGAGTTTAGTAACGTAACGAATCGGAATAGAATCATAATGTGATGAGTTGACAGGGCTCTTAGAGAGAATTTGGTTCTGTTTCATATGATCTAAAGAAGCCTAGTGGCCCAGACACACAGTGCACTTCTGAAAGTCACCGTTCTGGCTAACTACAGAGTTTAATGCCCAGGACGGTTAGGAGGGATGGGGGATACACCAATTAAGAGCAGGCCTCACAAACTCAGCATGTCTTAAGGGAGGAAGAGAAGGACCCTTCTTTCCTCGACGGCAGTGGGCACTCACATAATCTTCATTTTACCACCAGGGTGAAAAGGCAGAACTGGAGCAAGTAGTCCACCAGCAGCAGAGTGGGGAACGGAGCGCAAGTTCATGGTGGCTGAACTCTCCCTTCCCAACCCATTGTTCTAGACCATCCCTGCAGCCTAAGGGAGCAGAACAGCTGTCCACACAGGCCCCCTGGTTTCAACATCCTAGGCTGCCACTCTCAATCAGCTTACTGAAGACACCTGGAACCTTCGGTCTCCCTTCATTCCCTAGGCTGATTTATCTTTGCAGGGCATAGCCCTGCTGTGCTCAGTCACCACACAGGTGCACAGCTGTGTGTTCTTTTCATAGCTCCTAAAATAAGCTACATTTTTGCTTTATCATCTCATCCCCTGACTTCTTTTCTTTTCTTTTTTTTTTTTTAGTTTATAAAGAAATTGTATTACAAAACGTACAATCATATGATGGTATGCACACAGGTCTGGCTGGGGCTTCTAAAAGCAAGTAGGAGTTGAAAGCTGAAAGCTTCTCCCAGGCAATCCAAAGAACTGACTTTTCTCCATTTTGAAATCCCTAAACACTAATGTTTTATTCAACTAACACTCATACATTTTTCTAGTGTTAAGAGAAAGATTGGCTTTTTGCCAGCTGACTTTAACTTTAAAGTATTTTTAAATGCCAACATCATTCATTCTGTCCATAATTCATTCTTCAGATACTTGCAAATGTCAGCACTAAGGCAGATCTCCTGTTTGATAGGATTTTGTAAAGGCAAACAGAAGTCTTACATGTCATAGAAAAGAGACACCTCGAGCAAATAAAAGAGTGAATAAAAATGACCCCCCCGATGGCCACACAGACTAGCACATATCTGTAATCCAGTACTAAGGAGGTAGAGGCAGGAGGTAGAGGCAGGAGGATCAGGAGTTCAAGGTCATCCATTGCTACACAATGAGTTTAAGGTCAGGAGAAGAGAACCTATCTCAAAACTCCAGAGCCAAACCAATCAACCAAACAAAGCCTTAACATCATATGACACAGTGATGCTATCTCAGTTTATCACTAATCATCATTGATGTGTCCAGATTCAAGAAAAGGTAGGTTTTAAATGAGCAATGCTTCAAGTTTTCCTCTTAGAATTTCTTTTTTTTTAATATAACAAAAATGCATGTTCAACCTACAATGCTAATGATGGATAGAGAAAATTTTTCACAGTAATATTTTCATCTCTCTAACGGTTCATGAAAATAAATTAAAAGCCAAAATAGAGCAAAGCCTTACCCTTCCTTTGTTTAGTGTTTCTTGTGCTTCTAACTTATAAACAAGGAAATCTAGGAAAGATAAAAATGCAGAGAAAGAAAGTAATAAGTTAATCCATTTAAAAATTTTTAAACATCCATGAGAAAAAAAGGTATACTTTACTCAGACTTGCAAAAATGTTTCCAATTCAAATTAATGTATTTGGTGATTTATGTATTTCATTTTACCTCTCAAACTTTGGAAAGCGGATGACAAAGCATGCAGTCTTCTGATTTCCCTTCTCTCTGTGAAGCCTGTATCACCAGAATCCATGCTTGAATCAAGTGACTAATAGCACACTTACAATAGCACTGTGAAAAGCTGCCTTTGAAACTGAGAGGCAGCGGGTGCATCTGGAGACAGGGTGATTTATCGCTACCCACTAGAGGGCACACTAAATTCCTTCAGGAACTGAAAAGACAATCAAGCCATCTAAGCCATCTTCAATGCTCTGAAAACTTTATTATCCACTAGATGGCTCTATAAAATCACTCTGCAGTGGAAGACAGGGCAAAGATAAGTCTCAGAGCATCTCTCAGAATTCTGAAGTCTGCTCAACCCAAGAGCCAGGAGAGCATTGCATGGTATCACGCATCTACCACGGCACCTACCCTTTTATTCCACCAAGGGTGCCAAGAGCTTAAATTCTGAGACTCATTAAAAATGTAAATAAATAAAAAATAAGAATGCAGATAACTTTCAGTTGCTAGATGCTGGAATGCATGCTTTCTTAAAAAGCTCTGACAGCATTTGACAGCAATGCCAGTGTTGCCTGTCAATTTCTGACTGAACAACTGTGTCAGTGAAATTTTTTATGAAATAGTAACAACTGCTTCATTCAAAAGATTCCAGGTAGTGGGTCAACTCACTATGTTACAGACGTAAGATGGAGTGTATGAAACGTGTTCTAAACAATGCATGTTTTCCAAACCCCAACTGTGGACAGAGGCTTGATACATTAGAAATACACCTCTGTAATGTAGAAGGGAACTCATGTGTTATTTCTGAAATAATTTGTGTGCCGATGTGCGACCGTCATGAAGGCCGCAGGAGCAGAAGCTTCTAAACCCACACCTAAGCCTCGGATGCAAAGGAGGCTTCTCTGTGGGATGGAAGGAAGTAAAGGCCCTTGAGTCATGACCTGGATGATAAAGCTTGCACATCTTCCACTTACTATCTGACTTGAGCTCCCAAAGGAGAAGAAACGGCTACCTCCCCGTCACTGAGACTATATAAAATGTCTGCGCCACGCCTAACACATCTAGTGACAGCTTTCTCTGCCCACCTATAGCACTGGCTTCAGGCTCATTTGAGAAACAACTCAGCAACAATAACAACAAAAATACAAAGCCAAAACGCACCCTAGGCCAAGTAATGGCACATCAAAGAGGGGTAGGCGGAAACCAAAGGGCACAAGCTCACATTGTCTTACCTTCCTTTGCTTTCTTGTGTTCGAGCCTTTCTTTTTGCAAAGATTTCTCTAATCTTGATCTGTGTTCATATACAACTGGAAAAGATAAGAGTTAAATTTGTCAGAGAACTAAGAGGTCCAGGGTAAAGTTAGAAACAATTTTAAAAACATAAACCAGTATAAACATAAACCAGTGCCCACATCCAATTAGGGTAAAAATATAAAGTTTCACATCTGGGGTAAAGAATAAACAGGTGGATGTATTCAAAGATCCAGATTCTGTGCAAATAATATGCACAAGTAATACATATGGTATTGGGCACAATTCCAGGAGGACTCCCTAGCCAGAGCTGATATGTCAGTTAGCCAGCAATTCCTTAAGATGTCTGCTGCCTCTTAACTATGCATTATGTCTCTAGAAGGCCCACCACATCTTTTCCCAGGCAACGGTGTCCACTTGTAAGACTTCAGCCACAGTCCACACAGGAGTTGCACCCTCATACACATCCCCTGCAATCACTTCCGTGGCAAGTGCCAGAAGAGCATTTCACTGTCAGTATCTCTTATCTGCTAAGTCAGTATGCCCTGCATCTCAACCAAAAGCAGCTGCCACGGAAAGCAGTACGCCACTATGATTCCACTAAGAGGAGAATCTCTTTCCACTTCCTTCATGTTGGAGCCAACACGTAAGAGAAACACAATGAAAGAGGATGGAGAGACTCCCCTAAGACCCCATAAAGGTGCCCACAAAGAAAGAGTCAGTTCACTCTCATCCATGAGAGCAAACGGATGTCCATTCTGGAAAGTCTTCCTGCCTTCTCCACTCTCTGCGTATTCATACACTGTGAAGAAGTCAGACAAGACGTTCTTGGAGACTATGGAGGAAGACGGGCCTGTGGAGGGAACAATGCTCACCACAGCTCTTAATGCAGTGGTGGATATGTATCTGTAGAAGCTGAAAGTGAGAGACATCTCACCTTGGAATGAATGAAACATGATATATTAGACTAGACTAGATCAGACATAACAATCAACAAACCAATGCCACGTGTATAGGTATACGCTATTGAAAATTTCAGGGGCATTTGATTTTGTTTTAATTCCCAGAGGAGCCTGAGAAACCACCAAATGTGTCTCAGACTTTATCTGGGAACAGAAGCCTCAGCTGCAGAGCGGTTTGAACAGGCAGTGAGGACTGGGAAGAGGATAAATTCAGTTTCAGATGTACCCTCCAACTCATGTTTGTCCAGCATTATGTCAACTATGATCTCATTCTCCGGCAAACTAAGCCAATTCCGTTATTCCATTCTTCGATCAGAAGACCCAAGCACCCCTTGGCTATATACAGCTCCATCATCTTTGGTCAATAGCTGTCTATCTACAACACAAGAACTGTCTCCACACAACTGGCTGCTGACAAAGTTGTCAGGATCCCAGCAACTCCCCTCCTCTTTCTCCTCCCATGAGCCCTTGCTGCTGACGGGACTGCCTGGCCCTCTGCCCTCTCTCGGTCACAGCTTCCTGTTACTAGTGACGGCTGCTCTCCTTCCTCTGTGGCCTTGATTTGAACTAAAAACCCCACCCTGAGGGATTTTCTGGAACCAGAAAGGCAGGAAAAGGTCAATGTTATAGTAGTAATTATGATATGCATATTGTTTATCCATTGACAATAATATTGGCCTATTTCTTTTTACCTGGAAAAATCCCCCTGAAGAGATGGCAAGTAGCACTTTTCAGTTCATTAGAATCTGGAAGCCTATTTTTCCATAAAAATTCATAGGTAGTAAAGATAAAACCAGATAGACTCTTTAAGTCCTTCTAGTCAATGCAATCATTATTACACATGCACGCACGCACGCACGCACGCACGCACGCACACACACACATTTTTTTCACTAGGTATTTTCCAGGTTTGCGAGCTGGCAATTCATCTAAGTGTGCTTATTGTTTCTGTTAGAAGAAAGACTGCTAATCAATCCTTGTCACCTGTCTCCATTTTCTATTTATACTTCGAAGTCAAGGGCATCATTCAAGACGAACTAAAGCTACACAATGGCATATAATGGATAGTCTCACAGCACCAAGCAAGTCTAGTGGAGGAAGTTTAAAACAATGGCTCAAACCTGGCATTCAAACTCTTTAATCTGATGCAAGCCTACACAGGAATAAGATTTGAAACATAAGAACTCATGAAGAACAAATAAATAAATAAAACTCTGTAATACTCGTCTCCTCCCAGGCTTGTTGAAAGAGGATGTAATATTTTCCATGCAGCAAAGAACAGAAAGAGGGTTTAGGAGTTTAAAACAACATGCGAGCTTCCGTAGCCATTTGGCATTTAAACACTGTCTTTCATCTAAAAGTTACAAAAGAAATGCTGTGTGCATTCGCTTCTGGGAGAAGGTCTATTCTCAGAAGTTCAAAGTAAAACGCTCCAACTCAGAATCGAGAAGCAACTCTGGCCGGGGCTGGAGAGACAGCTCAGGGATTAGGAGCAAGATCTTGCCACTCTGGAAGAGGACCCAGGTTTGGTCACCAGCACCCACATGATGGTTCACAGCTCCTGGTAACTCCAGGTCCAGGGGATCAGGATGTCCCCTTCTGACCTTCAGAAGCACCATAATGCCTGTGGTTCACATAAACACATGCACACAAACACTCAGACACAAAAAAAACAGATAAATATTCAAGAATTTAAAAGAAAGCAATAGTCAAAAATCCTGCAGAAAGCACGACCGGATGTCTTGACTTCTTAAACCAAGGGACAGAAACTGCTTCTTTAGCAGATCCAATAATAGCCCGTGGGTTTTTTGTTATTGTTGTTGTTGTTGTTTGTTTTTTGATTCCCCTCCTTCAGATCCTCCTACAGTACAACATTTTACCAAAACTTGGTTAAGAGTCACACAGTTCAACTGGTGGAATAATTAAGGTTTGTCAGTAATCCAACTTTAAGTGAATAAATTTAGAATTTCAAAATTGTGGCTATAGAAAGACAGCCAGTTAACAAAAAAGAGGGGAAATAAATTCAAGGCAATACATATAGTTCTCAGAACAGAATGTTGTAAAGGCTTGTGGGTAAGTTTAGGACTAAAATCAGGTATTTGCGACAATCTGTGTGTGAGTGAGTGTGTTTCATACACATTTCTATGGATGTGTTTGGGTGCACATGAGCATATAGAGACAAGATTATAGACATCAGGCATCTTCCTTCACAGCTCTCCATCTTGTACTTGAGAAAGGACCTTTCACAGAACCTGAAATCTATCCACTCAGCTAGGCCAGCCAGCCAATGACCTCCAGGGGATCCACCTGGGATGCCCCCAAGTTAAGAAATGCTCCCTTGGCCCTGGCTCTTTATGTGGGTGCTGGGGGATTGAACATAAACATTCACGTTTGTGGAGCAGGCACCTCACCAACCCAGTTCTCTCCCCAGCCCCATGATGACAGCCTTTCAGAACCACTTTGACCTGTAGTCCTAATTCACTGTAAATGGGGTAGAGGCCAGCCCTAGAGCCCTTTATCTGTGCAGATGATGGTGGCTTACCATGAAAATAGCATTACAGGTGTCTTTCTCTGTTATATTTTCTTCTTGCTTTAGTAATTTTACTTCACACAAAGTCTGAGGATGAATATAGAAAACCTAAGAAAATCCACAGCAAACAATAAAGAACAGAGGACGTAACAGCTACCATCTGGTCTTCATACTGGACCTTTCTTAGAGATCCCAGCAGAGTGAGAAGGCACCACTAAGGCAGATGCTAAGGTCTGTCCTCCTTGTTTCTCTTTTAGATGACTCCTACACTGTGAATGTCAAGCATTTTCCTCTGTGCATTCCGAGTTCAGACTGCTACGGTTTGGATTTTGAGCGTGTTCCAAGACGCAAGTGTTAAAGGATCAGTCCTGGAGTGACATCACATGGAAGGAGCGGAACTTTTAACAGGTAAGACCTAGTGAGAGGTCCCTTGGTCACTGGAGTGTCCTGTGAAAGTAATTTCTACCTGCTTGGCTATCAGCGAACAGATTTTTTTTTTTCCACCACCACATGCCAAAAAACCAGGGCCAAGCATTACAGACTGGAACTTTCAAGACTGCGAGCCAAAACAAACCTTTTCTCTAGATAAGTTAATTGTCTCAGGTATTCGTTACGGTGGCAGGAAGCTAACACACATATCTTCCATTACAACCTTTCCTGCTTGATTTATAATTTATACTTTAATTTAGTTATTATCTAACTCCCCTTATATTGAAGACCCAGACTTTGAGATAATGCCTTCTCCTGTCTTCCGTTCACATGCCGAATGACACCCAAAGGCCTCAAAAGGCTTCTCCTTGTTGTTCATATTCCAGCCCCACATCTTTCTTGCTTCTTCCTGAACATGCAAGATACACATTTAACTCAGCAGCTTAGCATCCTTTTCTTGAGTACTAACTGCTTTTTCTTCAGGTACCTGCATAAACAGTGCCTGCCTTCCCTTCACCTCCTCCGGGCTGGAGAGACGGCTAAGTAGGCAGGAGGGCTTACAGGACAAGCATGAGGACCCATCTGGAAAGCCCCTTAAAGGAACAGAGACCGAGCTGGTGGACTGTTTATGGAAAGTCTTCAAAGCTGAAAGGAAAATGTCTTGCTACGTGAGAGTCTTGCACTGTCCGGGGCAAAGCTACATTTTCAAAGACATGCATGGCTGTTCAGGCACAGGGGTTAGAAGTTTATGAGCTGTGGTAATAGAAGCAAAGCTACTCTGAAGAAAGATATATTGTATATATAGACCTTATACAGGAATCTTCTTATCCAGCAGCAGGATTTCAGCCAGACCACTTCAAAGTATTTCAGGAAAATAATGGAGGAGAGAAAAAGGAGAGGGAAATAGGAGGTGAACGAAGGGCGGGAGAGAGGGGTTGTTTCTAGTGTTTCAAACCTGTGCAGAGATGCACACAAACCCTCTTAAGATGGGCTAGACCTATGTTGTGGTGTGAATGTAAAATACCCCAAGTAGCTGATGATGACCTTTTGGAAGACTGTGGAAGAAGAGAACTTCACATGCCTGCCCCACGTGCTGTCTGCTCAAGGCTTCCTTACTGCACAGCCAATGGGCCCA